AAGTCCCTTAACAGAATCTTTTGAAAAGTAGGCATTTTTGGTTTTGATAAAATCAAATTTATTCGTGTTTTTTTATGCTTTTGGAGTCATATCTAAGACATTTTTTTCCAGCCCAAGGTCACAAAAATTTTTTTCCTTCATCTAGAAGGAAACTTTTAGGTTTTACACTTAAGTTTATGATCCATTTTGAGTTAATTTTTGTATATGGTGTAAGGTGTGGATTCCAAGGTCACGGCAGGGGTGTGGGGATGGTATATGGGTATTCAACTGCTGTAGTACCTTTGTCCTCACAATACGCAAGTGAATGGTTTGCTGTGCCAAGCAGTCTATTCACAAAGCAGGCCCTGGGGCTGGGCTTCACCCACAGCATGGAGTTTGCCCACCCCTTTTCTATTCCTTGACCTCTGTAGTGATCTTCGTGATTTCCTTCTGTCTGGCTACTTTGGGGTTAATTTCTTCTTTTTCTAGTTATTTAGGGTGGAAGCTGAGGTCGCTGATTGGAATAGTTCTAGAAATAGATAGCATTATCTAGTTTGCTCCAAATTTCTACTTTTTCTTATTTGTCTTGGCTGTGCTAAGTCCTTTGCTTTTCATATGAAATTTAGGGTCAGCTTGTCAGTTTCTGCCAAAAACAGACCTGGTAGCATTTTGTTTGGAACTGCATTGAATCTGTGTATCAGTTTGGGAAGAATTGACATCTTAACAATATTGAAACTTTCAGCCCATAAACAGCCCAGTTATTTTTGTCTTCTTCCTTTTCTCTCAGCAGTATTTTGTAGTTTTCAGTATACAGGTCTATCATATCTCTTGCCAGCATTTCATAGTTTTGATGCTGTTGTAAATGGTATTGTTAAATTTCAAATTCTAATTGTTTATAAATAGAAATACAGTTGATATTGAACTTGTGTCCTGCATCCTTGCTAAACTCACTTTTTAGTTCTAATAGCTTTTTTGTAAATTATATCAAGTCTTCTACGCCATGGTCATGTTTTCTGTGAATGAAAAGTTTTATTCCTTCCTTTCTAATCTAGATGCCTTTTATTTCTTTTTCTTGCCTAACTGGACTAGTTAGAACCTTTGGGAGAGTACCGGATAAAAGTGGTTTGAACAGAAGTCCCTATCTTGTTCCTGATCTTAGGTGGATAGCACTCAGTCTTTTACCATTAAGTATAACATAACTCTGAGTTTTTTGTAGATGCCCATTATCTGGTTAAGGAAGTTCCCTTCTATTCCTGGTTCACTGAGAGTTTTTATCAGGAATGGATGTTGGATTTTGTCATATCCTTTTCTGCATCTGTTGAGATGATCATAGAGTTTCTGTCTTTTAGTTTATTAGGGTCATCAAACTTTATTTTAGACTGCAGTCCACATAGTCTCTGTTACAGCTGCTCAGTGCTCAGTTGAAGCACAAAAGCAGGCCATGGAGCTAGCTTTCACATACAGCATGAAGTTTGCCAACCCCTGTTCTTCTATTCCTTATTCCTAGTGATGTTTATTATTTCCTTTCTTCTGCTTACTTTGGGTTTAATTGTCTCTTTTTCTAAGGTGGTAGCGGAGGTCACTGATTTCAGACCTTTCTTTTATGATCCAGTTACTTAGTGCTATGAATATTCCCCTAAGTACCGCTTTTACTCCACCCCCACAAATTTTAATATGTTTTCATTTTCAGTTAATTCAAAATATGTTCTAATTTCTTCATTGCTTTGTGGGTAATTTCAGTTTCCAAATATTTGGGATTTTCCAGATGTCCTTCTGGTCTTGAATTCTAATTTAGAAGAACCTACATTTTTTTTTTTTTTTTAATTTAGTGGAGTAGAGTTGACTTACAATGTTGTGTTAGTTTTAGGTGTACAGCAAAGTGATTCAGTTACACATATACATATATTCATTCTTTTTCAGATTCTTTACCCATATAGGTTATTACAGAATATTGAATAGAGTTCCCTGTGCTATACAGTAGGTCCTTGTTGGTTATCTATTTTATGTATAGTAGTGTGTGTATGTTAATCCCAAGCTCCTAATTTATCTCTCCACCCCCCCACATTTCCCCTTTGGTAACCATATGTTTGTTTTCAAAATCTGAGTCTGTTTCTGTTTTGTAAACAGAATTTGTATCATTTTTTAAATTAGATTCCACATATGAATGATATCATATAATGTTTGTGTTTCTCTGTCTGACTTACTTCACTTTGTATGAAAATCTCTAGGTCCATCCTTGTTGCTGCAAATGGCATTATTTGTTCTTCTTTATGGCTGAGTAATATACCATTGTATATATGTATCACATCTTCTTTATCCATTCCTCTGTTGATGGACATTTAGGTTGCTTCCATGTCCTGGCTGTTGTAAATAGTGCTGCATTGGGGTGCATGTATCTTTTCAAATTATGGTTTTCTCCGGATATATGCCCAGGAGTGTGATTGCTAGATCATATGGTAGTTCTATTTTCAGTTTTTTAAGGAACCTCCGTACTATTCTCCATAGGCTTGTACCAATTTACAGTCCTACCAACAGTGTAGGAAGGTTCCTTTTTTTCCACACCTTCACCAGCATTTATCATTTGTGGACTTTTTTTTTTTTTTTTTTTTCGGTATGCGGGCCTCTCACTCTTGTGGCCTCTCCCGTTGCGGAGCACAGGCTCCGGACACACAGGCTCAGCGGCCATGGCTCACGGGCCCAGCCGCTCTGCGGCATGTGGGATCTTCCCGGACCGGGGGACAAACCCGTGTCCCCTGCATCGGCAGGCGGACTCTCAACCACTGCGCCACGAGGGAAGCCCTCATTTGTGGACTTTTTGATGATGGCCATTCTGACTGGTATGAGGTGATACCTCACTGTAGTTTTGATTTGCATTTCTCTGATAATTAGTGATGTTAAACATTTTTTCATTTGCTTTTTGGCCATCTGTATATCTTCTTTGGAAAAATGTCTATTTAGATCTTTTGCCCATTTCTTGATTGGGTTGTGTTTTTTTTGACATAGAGCTGCATGAGCTGTTTGTGTATTTTGGAGATTATCCCTTGTTGGTCGCTTTGTTTGCAAATATTTTCTCCGTTTCTGTGGGTTGTCTTTTTGTTTTAAAGTTTCCTTTGCTGTGCAAAAGCTTTTTAAGTTTAATTAGGTCCCATTTGTTTATTTTTGTTTTTATTTTCATTACTCTAGGAGGTGGATCAAAAAAGATATTGCTGCGATTTATGTCAAAGAGCATTGTTTTGTTTTGTTTTTTTAAATTTATATTTTGGCTGTGCTGTACTGCTTGTGGGATCTTAGTTCCCCGACCAGGGATCAAGCCCAGGGCCCATGGCAGTGAAAGAGCTGTCTTAACCACTGGACCACCAGGGAATTCCCTAAGACTGTTCTGCCTATGTTTTCCTCTAAGAGTTTTTACTCTCTGGCCTTACATTTAGGTCTTTCATCCGTTTTAAGTTTATTTCTGTGTATGGTGTTAGAGAGTGTTCTAATTTCATTCTCTTACATGTAGCTGTCCAGTTTTCTCAGCACCACTTTTCCCCATTGTGTATCCTTGCCTCCTTTGTCACAGATTAATTGACCACAGGTGCATGGATAGAAGAACCCACTTTATGGTGTTGAGTCCTCCTATCCAGGATCTGATCTTTCCATCTATTCCAGTGGTTTAAGGTTTTTCTCATTCAAGCATGTACAATGACTGTACAGACAGATAGTGGGGAGGTGCAGCAGCTTTAGGACAGCAGTTGCCTCCAGGAAGGTTGAATGCAGTAGAACAGGGACTGCGTTTTTATCCAAAATGTTGTAACAATGTTTTTAATACATCTGAATGTTTATGTAATACATATGAATGTTCCTTATGAAACTGTTTTTCTATATCTTTGAAATATTTTATAGTTTAAAAAATACTTAGGGGCTTCCCTGGTGGTGCAGTGGTTAAGAATCTGCCTGCCAATGCAGAGGACACAGGTTCGAGCCCTGGTCCGGGAAGATCCCACGTGCCGTGGAGCAACTAAGCCCGTGCGCCACAACTACTGAGCCTGTCATCTAGAGCCTGCAAGCCACAACTACTGAGCCCGTGCGCCACCACTACTGAAGCCCAAGAGCCTAGATAGAGCCCATGCTCCGCAACAAGAGAAGCCACCGCAATGAGAAGCCCACTCACCACAGTGAAGAGTAACCCCTGCTCGACACAACTAGAGACAGCCCAAGCGCAGCAGTGAAGACCCAATGCAGCCAAAAATAAATAACAACAAAAAAACACTTAGAAATCAGTTTTAATAGAAAAGGACTTTTATTGCAAATACAGTGACTCTTCATATTACAGCAGTTTACGCTGATAAACCAAATGGCCATAATTTATGTATATTTTGGATATAAAACTATACTTTTTTTTTTTTTTTTTTACATATAATATACTTTCCAGTGTGATGACACTTCAAAGAGGAAAAGATTGCATTCACAATAGAAACCATCCTCCCTGAGTCCACAGCCCTAAAATAACAAGCACTGTCCAAACATCCCTGCAGTGGAGCTGACCCCAACAAAGGGGCTTCCCCTCCTCTATCCCTCATCGCTAGTTGACAGTCACAGGAAGTGAAGCATTTCTGGAGTGTCTGTATCCACCCACTATGGAGAATGCCAATGACTCAACCAGAGCAGCAACAGTGAAATGGCAGAACTGCAGAGCCCTGACTTTGCATTTTAGTCTCTGTAGCCAAGGTCAGAAGTAAAACATTAAAACTATTTTACCATTTACCTTGCTGAGAGCCCCCATAACCTGTTCCACTAGTAAGCAGCAAATTTAGGAATTTTACCTAGGGACCACTAAAAAAATAGTCTTTTCCAACATGTCTGTTTCCCCAGCATCTGGCACATAGTCGACCTCCATTAAATGCTTGTGGGGCGAACAAAGAGTCATAATCCTCATCTGTCCAGGGGTGTGCGGCCAATGAGCCATAGAAGTTATGGCATCACAGTGGTTTACTTTTAAAAGATGTTCTTTCAAAATGAACTCCAAGAAGAAAAGCAGTCTACACAGAGAGAGATGCTGAAGCGATCTTACACAGTAGTTTGTTGAGAGCTCTAACTCTTTCTTCCAAGAACCGGGATTTTTTCTCAGCACCTCGTTGCTTCTCTTCAGTGACCTGAAGCGCTTTCGTTAGGTGAGCATTTTCCACATAGAGCTCCTTGAGCAGCAAATCAGATCGTGTATTCTTTTCAAACTGGACAGGGGAGAAAGCCACAATGCACTGTGAATCTAATGCAGAAATGCTACGCTACCAGCTTGCCCCACCCAGTCTTCCACGTTCAAACCACAGTTTGGGGATTCTTAACAAATTGGAAACAAATATTGGATGTAACGACAATTTTTGTTATCCTGGTGGGAGAGAGGAAATTGAGAATCTGATGAACTATGTGGTAGAGAAAACTTAAGCCAATTTTGCACAAATTGATTTTTACCATAAAATGAAGACAAAAAGACCAAAATCTGTAGGCCTCAAAAAGAAACGAAATTGTCAAGAGTACCCAAAATGTTTGGCTCATCTCAGGTGCTCTGCAGGCCCATCCCGTCACCCAGGACACAGTGAGGCACTGTGGTCACCACATACACAGCAGCTGTAGGGGCTTCAGTGATGGGGACACAGGCCACACTAGTCAGGATGCTAACACACAGGGGTCCCGGATTTGCGCTTCGTGAGTCAGCACTAAATACATTCACTCAGGTAATTAACTGAGCAGCTCCGTTGGCCAGGTGCTGCCCTAGCAACAGCCCTGCTCTCACAGGGCATGTATTCCAATGGAAGGAGACAGACCAGAACCAAGCACGCAGTTTTGGATGGTGGGACTGGTGGTGGACTAGTGTCGGGTGGTGGGACCTGCTAACAGAAAACCCAGGAGGGGAGACACAGCTGACACTGAGGTGAACAGAGAGGGCTTCCCTGTATGTTGACATTTGGACAGAGATCTGAATAAAGCACTGGGTAAGTCAGGCTGTCTGGCATGAACATTCCACACAGAGCTGGCACATGTGGGGATGACAGGAATGGCCAGGAGGCCTGTGAGGAAGTCTGAGCTGCCATGCTGGCTGGGCAGGGGGCCAAGGGGAGGGGAATAGGTCCTGCAGAACCTTGAAGGCCACTAAAAACTGCCTTTTACTCTGAGGGATGTGGAAAGACTGGAGGTTTCTGAGCAGAGGAGGGCTAACACCTCCGTCACATTTGAAGATGACTTTTGCCGCTGAAAGCACATCAAAGGAAACAAGGACACCAGCTGTTAGGACCCAAGAGATGGGGGCTCTGTATCCCACGCTGAAGGCCTTGCTGAAGGATGAGATGGGAAGGGGTCCATCAGGACTCCAAGGTTTTGGACTTGGGCAGGCAGGTGAGAGCACAGACAGCTCTGAAGGGACTCATGTAAAGAGGAGCAGAGAGCTGGTAGGACCAGGGCTCTGGAAGGTGGTGTTGAGACAAGGCTCCAGAGGAGGGAAGGGCTGGGGCGGAGGGGAGGGGACACAGGCACATGCATTTCTTTCGACACTTCTGGTCTTCCAGTGAAACAAGCGCAGAGCACAGCTGAGGGGAGAGGTGCTGGAGGTCAGAGACAGGAGGGAAAGGGCCCACCGGAGAGGGCAGTGGGGGCGAGGGTGTAGTTGGAACAGCTCCCCGGCCACCCTGGCACCTCCACGTGCAGGAGCCTCAGGAGTCACCTGGGGTTTGGGTTGAGGTTTTGCCAGGAGTGACTGGGGGAGTCACCAAGTCTGACTGCTGGGAAGGAACGTGAGGACCAGGGACAGAGGGTGGGAGGATGGCAGTGTCGGCAGGGGAGGGGCTGCAGAGATGCGGGGGTGGTCAGGAGTGGGTGGCCTGCACAGAGTGACGCTACCTGGGGACCTGCAGCTCCGGATGCTGCAGATGAACCATACTTGACTGCTATGTAAGAGAAGTATTTCTACAGATTCTCATGTTTCATTTCCTGTAGCTCCAAGTAGAGCTTTTAGGGCAGCAATGGCTTCTCTCTCTCCTCTCCCCATCTCAGCGATTCCACAGGACATGGGGTTCTCTTGGGTTATGTCTGCCTGATCAGCTACTTGAATGCCCAAACGAGGCATCATCACTCACCTGCTCTTTCAGCTCACGCACTTTCTCTTGTAGGAGCGCTTCCACGTTCTTCAAAATCATTTCCACCTCCTCCACCCGCTCTTCTGCGGCTTTCAGCTGTTTTTCATGTGCTTCCTGCACAAAAGGAGGTTAGAGACGAACACTGTACATTTTTAAAATAATCATCACGGGTTTATTTACTTTAGAATGGAAATTAGCTGAAGTGTGCAAATCTGAGCGTGTGGATAACCTTTCATCCGTAGAGGGATGGTTAGAAATGTCTCACAAGCCACAAAGCTGCATTTCTCACTGTAGTCTAAGCAGATCAGCAGACTGCTTTGTGCTAGGATTTTGTCCTTTCAGTCCTAAATGACTCAAAGGGAGTTTCCCCAAACACTTTAGGCTTTCTAAAGGATTTCTGACTAAATTTGTTTTGTCAATAATCTCTCACAGCTTAACTCTCTCTCCAGCATAACGTTTTTGCATAATGCTGAAAGGCTATTCTTCGATAGAATTTGTTTTACAAACCTCGAATTCCACCCACCTTTGCAAGCTTGTGCCAGTTCCTCCCTCGTGAAGGTGCCTCACCCTCTGGCCCCCCCCACCCCCACTTCATGAACTCTGAGGACCAAGATATGCCCCGCAGGCTTACACTTTTAAGGTGCTCACTCACTGGTGCCTGAGATGGTGCTTTGAGGTGGGAACCGCTGCCACCAGAAGTTGACAGAAACAGAGAGGTTAACTGGCCTGACGTCACTCGGCTGGGGTGGTGCAGCCAGGATCCAGATCCCAGCAGTGCGTGCTCTGAGCCGCTGTCCTACTGCCCTTTGAGGCTGCGACTCTGCTTCTATGTGTCTAGATGCCTAGGGCAGCACCTGGCACACAGTCGGGCTCCCCAAGTCTGTGCTGTCACTGCGCTGACCTCTTGTCCAACCGCCCTCCATGCCCTGGCTACCTTTAAACATTCTGAGCACAGCCCACCTCAGGACCTTTGCACCTGCATGTACTCTTACAGGGCTACACAGGTAGGGACCCTGCCCGTTGCCTCCCTCGCGGCCCCTCTATCACCATCTTTCAGGCCTGGAAGCGGGGACCGTGTGTGTGGCTGTGTGGCTGGCTGCAGACACGTGCAGCCCAGAAGACAGACTGGGGGGCTTTGGGGTGCCTTCTGGGTCAGCTGCTCAACGCCCCCCAGTTCTCAGGGAAAGTTGGGTCCCATAGCTTCCATAAACCAGTCCTCAAGTAGTGGGACATCTGTGGGGCCATCTTCCCCTGGGCACCTGGGCAGCTTTTGGCTAAGTCACCAGAGAGCCAACCTTACCCTCCCCATCACCCTCAGCCAACCCTTGGGCCCCTGTCCTCACTTACCCGTTCCTCCTCCTGGAGCTGCCGAGCCGCCTGCCGCTCCCCTTCCAGCAGCTGCTGCAGCTCAGCCACGCGGCCCCGAGGCACAAGCTGCTCCATCTGCTCCTGCAGCTGCTGGACCGCGTGGGCGTGCTGGGACTGGGCCAGCCTCAGCCTCATGGTGGCCCCGTACAGCTGCCCAGGGAGAAGGCACCCAGTGTTGGGGTGACTGCCCAGAGCTATCGGGTCACTAACAGGCACAGAAGACTGCATCCCTACCTTTAAGGTCACCCCACAAGGGAAGTGTCTGCAGCAAAACCCACGATTCCTAAAGAGCCCGTTTAGCTGAATTCTGACGCCCAAACTCCATTCAGCTGGCGCTTCTGCACAGTGAGAGCCAGGAAGGCCTGCCTGTAATCCTCCACGTGACCTCCCGCCGGATTACGTAACCTTCTGTCATGTTTACCTTCCGGGTACATTACTGGGGTGTAATTCCTTTAATACTGTGACCCACGCCAGCTGTGTATGGCAGCCTTCCTCTAAGTGAAGAGTTCACGCTCCTGACACCTGGCTGCGGCCGGGGTCCCAGAGGTGGGTTACACAGTGATCAGCGAGGGGCTGGGAGCAGGTGTGGATGGACCTCAGCACCCACTCCCTGGGCACAGAGCCCACTGGGTCATTCGTACCAAGCTGTCCAGAGCCTGGCCACTTCCCCTGATGGACCACCTGGGAGACCAGATCTCAACACCATTTATATCACTTGGACTCTGGCAGCGTCGTCTGGAACACACGGAACTTCCCTCTGAGATCCCACAGACGGGAGAGGCAACAGCTCTGCCAGGGGTCCTGCTGAGGGCAGGTTGGAGAGGAGGGCGCCGGCCATGCCAGGCAAGAGCGAGGCTGTGAGCCCGCAGCCCCACTTCCCTCACTGTCCCGTGTCACTGCGTGTCTGAGGGGCCACTCCAGGCAGTTCTCCAGGACGGGTCCCCCCAGAGACACACCCGTACACACGGGTCCAGCAGGGCAGCTACCATGCTCTTTGGGATGAAGAGAGGGGAGGGTAGTTCTCACACACCCTCCACCAGATGTAGCCTCTTCCCGACTTTGGAGATGCAGATGGTCACTCTGCAGTCACTCTGGCCCGTGTCTGAGCCCCCACCCACCTGAAAGTGCTCTTCACACCCCCTGCCCAGGTTCCTCACCGCCCGCTTCCCACTTGGCTGGGTGGTACATCAGCACCGCCCAACTGAGTGCCCCGAGCCCCCTCCTTGTGAAGTGAGGTGCGGGTGGAGGCTGAGCTACCTCCGGAGAGCCCTGCTCAACTGCCACGTGAGAAGGGGGACGTCCCCAGGAGAGCAGTGGGGCCACTGCAGCTGGGAAGCCAGGGCCTTTGCGTTTTGGTTGCCGGGGCGGGGCAGCGAGCCCCTGACAGCAGCCCCTCCTGCCCTGAATGCAAGCTGGACTGGCAGAATGTGGGGAAATGATATTCAGAACTCCCGGGCACCAGCCTCAGAAGCCTAGCCACCTGTATGCTCTTCTGGGGGCGCCTGGTTGCCGCACCACGAGAACCCCATGCCGTGGAGAGGCCGGTGCGGGTGCCCCAGTCCATGGCACCCCTGTAAGTGCCCTCTTGGACGCCTGGCTCCCCTGCTGGACCTGTGACCTTGGAACCGCTCATGGCGCACCGGTGACCACTCCCTCCCTTCCCCGTGGCTCTGTGTGCACCTCACCTCCACACACCCAGAGGGTCCCTAGGTGCCCTGGAAGCTCCTTACTTCCCTTCTCCACACTTTCATCCAGGTGTGTTTCACGGGGGTCCTCGTCTAAATCACAAAAGGGGACGCCAGCTCATGTCACAGCAGCCTGCTTAAGTGCAGTATCTCCTGCTTGTGACGGCGGCTGAATGTTGGGCATCCCAGCGGGCACGGAAACCTCTGGCAGCCCAGCCCTTCTGCCAGCAGATGGATCTGACTCCTTAGCCTCAAAGGCTCAATCTAGTCCAGGCGATTTCTCAAGGTTCCTTTTGCACTAAAAGTAGAGAAAGGAGCCCCCAGTACGTGGCGGCACCTCGGGGAAAGTGCCTGCTTACAGCGGGGGGCTGAGCCCACAGGAGCCTGACAGCACCTCATAAGGCCCCGGTGGGGGTCCCGCACCCAGACTGACCCCTCTGCAGCCCCGGGCCATCTGAGAAGTGACTGTTCACACCAGGTGACCACAGCCAAGTCCAGGAGTCAGGCCAGGGGCCAGTTGGGGAACCTGGTACAAAGGCTGGGCAGAGGCATGCGGGTTAGAGACCCTCTCCCACGGCCCTTTTCCCGCTGCTGTACCCTGGCCCTCCAAGCACACCCCAGGTCTGAGTCCACACTGGGCCCGTGGCCCTCAGGGCACCTCACCCTGTCACCTCCCTTCTCCTGTTCGAACTCCTCAGAAGAACCAGCCCTGGGTCCCTGAACCTCACGCTGTCAGGCACCCGCCGTCCCTCCTGGGCCCACTCTGCTCACATGTTTGTCCCAGACCGCGAACTCCCTGCCTCCCCTGAGCCTGGTGCGCGCTGGACAAATGCTGCAGCAGGAGAGCAGGTGGAACACCTGTCACATACCTGTCACAGGTATGTGACACCTGGGCTCCACTGGGGGCGCGGAGCGGGGTCACCTCGGGGGCTGCTCTGCCCTGTTGGCCTGGACCTCAGAGGCCACCTGCCGCATTCCCTGGCCCCTCCATCTGTAGAGGGCACACCTGGAGGCACTGCTATAGCCTCCTCCCTTCGTGAGGAACAGGCGCAGCTCTTCACGTGGCTCACTTGAGTTCAACCCGACCCTGGACTGAGCCTGACTCAGTCCTGGGCCTGGCGGATGCCCAACTAGCCGGGTGACCTGAGGCAGACCAAGGATGCCCCTGGCTGGACTAGTCCCGGTCAGGCTGTCAGAGGCAAGGCTGACCCCTCCCGGGCTGGGACCACTGCACACACCCACCTGGTCCCGACTCTCTTCGAGGGCCTCTCTCAGCTGTGACTGTGCCAGTCTCAGGCTCTGACGTTCCTGAGTCACGTGTTCAAGTTCAAGTTCAAGTTTTTGGATTTGGTTATCCTGTTTTTTAAAAATCAATTTCACAAGTATAAGAAGTATCTTAGCGATGTGATACACGTTTAATGCAGAAACTTCAGAAAAGCAAAAATTATAAAATTCAACTCATCCATGATCCCAGCAGCCCGAGGACCACACCCGACGTTCTGCTGTATCTCCTGGCCCTCCCTCCACACGCACGGACTTCTGTCACTAAGACGCTGTATGCTGTGCTTTCCCCCTCATTATATCTTGAGTGTTAAATACTTTTCAAAAACATGGTTTTTAATGGCTGCACCATCATTTACTGACTAATTCAATACTGTTGATGATTCAAAGCTGATTCCAATTCTGTTTTGCTATTATAAATACCACAGCAATGAAAACACTTCCAGCTAAGTCCGTACACAATGCTCAGTAAAGTTCCCACTAGCAGAATCATGAAGCCAGAGCGCACGGACGTTCTTGGTGCTCTTGATGTATATTTTGCCATATTGTCCTCCGGAGAGGTTGTACCAACTTACTCTCCTATCATCAGGATTTAATTCCTCTCTACTACTTTTTCTAGATACCAGGCTTTGTAAAAGCTGCTGAAGTCCACATATTTTCAGGGCTTGCTTGTTAAGTCCCTCCCTTTACCTCCAGGCACATCAGGGCTGTTCCTCATCTGTTTTAGGCCAGCCTGTCTGCCCCTCCCTGCTGCGCCCGGCCACTCACCTGCAGCTCCTCCCGGCTTGCGGCCTCCTCCAGTCTCTGTGTCAGCAGCTGAACAGTGATGTGATTCTTCTTGCTCTGGGCCTGGTGGGTAGAGGCCTCCTCTCCCAGCTGCAGGACCCTGTGGTTGAGCTGGGACAATTCATCCTTGCATTTCTGACTCTAGAACAAAAAGGGATAAAACACAGATGAAAAAGTTTTCTGTTTTTTGTTTTTTGGTTTTTTGCTATACGCGGGCCTCTCACTGTTGTGGCCTCTCCCGTTGTGGAGCACAGGCTTCGGACGCGCAGGCTCATTGGCCATGGCTCACGGGCCAAGCTGCTCCATGGCATGTGGGATCCTCCCAAACCGGGGCGCGAACCCATGTCCCCTGCATCAGCAGGCGGACTCTCAACAAAAAGCTATTCTTTTAAACCAACAGCATTCCAGTGGTTCTCAACCAGGGACACTCTTGCTCCCCAAGGGACGCTTGGCAATGTCTGGAGACCATTTTGGTCATCACAGCTAGCGGGGTGGGGTTACTACTAGAAACTAGTGGGTGAGGAGCTCAGCGTCCCCAGAGTGATGGGCTCTCTGGCCACGGGGCAGAGGATGAACTCTGGTCCATCCAAGAAGCAGCAGACTGGGCACCAGGGGGGCTCACAGCACATCAACATCCAACCAGTGCTCTGGAGAACTGGCATGGTTTTCTTCTTTCTCCCACGGTTATTTCTAACATTATCTTAAGCAATTTGAAGGGGAAAAAAAACCCTCGTTATGCTTGAGGCACGTGATTCTCTTCAAATCATTGTCATTAAACACAAAAACCGAGGCTCTCGGTGGGGGGAGCACACTGATAAAATCGCCCACTTTGCAGGCAGCGGATGCTGGACTCTGGACAGCGCTGCCTGGGATGAAACAGCAGCCATCAGGTGACACACGGAAGTGCGTTATTTCCAACTGGGTGTCACACACCTTCACACAAACCACGTTTCGCTCATCTGCTTTTCCCCAGCAGCCGCTCTGGAGGCCGAGGGTCTGCAGCCCTCCGTGCCTCAGAGTAGCGTCCACGCACAGCTTGTGGGCGCATCACTGTCGCCCCAGGGCCGGATGTTCCCACCACATCGGTCAGGCGCAGGAAGAAGCAGGCTGGGGCGAGAGCTATGGGTCTCTCCAGGGGACGGCAGAGGTCTGAGAAGCCAGAGGTGACAAAAACACTCCCAGAGGACTTCCCTGGTGGTGCAGTGGTTAAGAATCCGCCTGCCAGGCTGCACTGAATCCATCTGGTTGTGCCTTACACACACACACACACACACACACACACACAGAGGCATAATGATTGATAACTTAGAACGAGTTCCTCTAGGATTACCTTTTTTTCTCTAAATTAGTTTTTTCTTTAAATTTAACCTTCAGTTTTGAGTCACTTAGTTGGCTGTTGCATCATATGATTCTTTGGTTGTCTCCCAGTGATGCCAGATGGGATCAGCACAGCCCCAGGTGCTAGTTGCTAATGCCTATAAAATGCCACCCAACCCCACAAAGGAGAATCATTTAAGAGTTCTTTGGACTTCATCTTCAAAAGTAGCCAAAGAATTCATGTGACAGGTTATCTCAGAAAATCTTTTGCAGTTAGTGAAATTAGGGTATAACTAAGAACATTCGGAATACTACACACACAGTTTAGGTGATCTTGGTATAGTGGTGGGACAGCAGTAAAGTAACTAACATGTACATGCTCTGCTGGGGGAGCCTAGAAAAACATTTCTCAGTGGATTTCCTATGAAATCCTATGACTTTCCTATGAAGTCAATGTGTCTTGGGTTTAACTTTGAAACAAATTAAAACATTTAAAAACTGACTTACTAGCACTTGTGGATTTCAGATTGAGACCCATGTAAAAGCAGTGTTTTATTCTGTGAAAAAAAAGAATCCACCAGCTGACGCAGGGGACACGGGTTCGATCCCTGGTCCGGGAAGATCCCACATGCTGAGGAGCAACCAAGCCCGTGCACAACAACTAATGAGCCTGTGCTCTAGAGCCCGTGAGCCACAACTACTGAAGCCTGCGCGCGCTAGAGCCCACACGCCGCAACTACTGAAGCCCATGTACTCAAGGGCCCGTGCGCCGCAACTATGGAGCCCACAGGTTGCAACTACTGATGCCCGCGCGCCTACAGCCCGTGTTCTGCAACAAGAGAAGCCACCGCAATGAGAAGCCCACACACGCAACGAAGAGTAGCCCCCACTCGCCACAACTAGAGAAAGCCCACGTGTAGCAACGAAGACCCAACGCAGCCAAAATAATAATAACAATAATAATAAAAATTAAAAATAAATAAAAACACTCCCAGAAAGAGTAAGAGCTCAGCAAGGTGTCAGGACACAAGGTTGGCAGGTGAAAATCCACTGTACTTTTATGTCCTGACACTGAACACTCAGAATCCCATGTGAAAAACAAAACACCATTTCTGGCTTCTGGTCTAGGCCTGTAAAGAGCTTGGAAGTCATCACTCCCATCCTCCCAACAAGAAAAAGCTGAATAACTGAAAACTCAACCACTCTTCTGAGACCCATCAGAGAACTGAGGTCACAGGGCAAATCAATGCCCTGGAAACTGGAGAGATGGGCAAAGGGAGTCACAGCTCACCAGGAGCTGATGGCTGGAGCCCGAAACAAACTGGCTACTGTGGGCGGAACTGTGTCCACAAACTCTCGGCTGTGTCTGGAGACAGGGCTTGCAGCAGGTAATTAAGGTTAAATGTGTTCACGAGGTGGGATCCTAATCTGATAGGACAGTGACTTTATGAGAAGACACAGTGAGAGGGCATCGTCTGCAAACCCGCAAGAGCCTCACCAGAACCAAGTCAGCCTCGCCTTGATCTTGGACTTCCGGCCTCCAGAACCGTGAGGCAATAAGCTCCTGGGGTTTAAGCCACCTGTCTGTGGCATTCTGTATGGAGCCTGAGCAGACTAAGACAGTGACCATTCTGAAGCACACAGAGCACTCTGTTCTTCTGCCCTCAAGGGAAACGTCCTTTTTACCAGATCAGAACCAGCGTGGGGAAGGGGATACCCAACTGCAGCCCCCTCTAACCTTTCTGACTCAGTACACACCTATCAGAGTGGCTAAAATAAAAGAGTGACAACACAGGTGTGGACAGGGATGTGGGGAAACTGGATCAAGCACACATTGCTGACAGGAACGGAAACTGTTACAGCCACTCTGGATAAGAGTTGGGCAATTTCTTATAAAACTAAACATGTAACTACCATACAACTCAGCAACTGCTCTCCTGGGCATTTATCCCATGAAATGAAAACCTATAACCACACAAAGACCTGCCTGAGAATGTTCACGGCACCTCTGTGACAGCCCCAAACTGGAATCAGCCCAGCCGTCCTTTAAAAGGTGAGCGTTAAAACAAGCTGTGGGCGACTTCCCTGATGGTCCAGTGGTTAAGACTCCGTGCTCCCAAGGGCCCGGGTTCAATCCCTGGTCAGGGAACTAGATCCCGCAGGCCACAACGAAGATCTCACGTGCCACAGCTAATACCAGGCGCAGCCAAATAAAGAAATAAATATTAAGAAACAAAACAAAACAAGCTGTGGGACATCAATGCCTTGGAAAAGTGTCCAGCAACAGGAAGAGGCTAACTGGGGACACACAGCTGGGAATTATGATATGCGAGAAAAGGCAACCCCAAAGTTCGTATTCTGTATTCCTTTTGTAACACATTTTGAAATGACACAGTTTTGGAAATGAAGGGCAGTTAGTGGTTTTCAGGGGTTAGGGGCTGGGGTAGGTGGGCAGGAAGGTGGTGGGTGTGGTCATGAAAGAACAACGTGAGGGATCCTTGTGGAGCTGGAGCTGTTCAGTATCTTGACTGTGGTTGTGGAGACACGAACCTACACAGGGGATAAAACTGCATAGAACGTGACACACACACGAGTACACAAGTAAAACTGGGGAAGCCCGAGTAAGGCGCATGGATTGTATCAATGTCGACATCTTGGTCGTTGATATTCATTATGGACTGATCCCTGCCAATTCACATGTTGAAGCCCAAACCCCCAATACCTCAGAGTGACTGTATTTGGAGATGGGGTCTTGAAAGAGGTGATTAAGGTAAAATGAGGTCATATGAGTCCAATATGATGGTGTCCTAATAAGAGATGAGGATACAGACACATCCGAGGGACGACCACGTCAGGACACAGGGAGAGGACAGCTGTATACAAGCCAAGGAGAGAGGCCATAGAAGAAACCAGTCCTGCCCTGATCCTAGACTTCTAACCTCTAGAACTATGAGGAAATAAACTTCTGTTGTATAAGCCACTCACTCTGTGGTACTTTGTTATGGCAGCCCTAGCAAACTAACACAGATATATTATACTATAGTTCCATAAAGTGTTACAACTGGAAGAAACTGGACAAAGTGTATTTCTCTGTAATATACTTCTCATAACCACCTGGGAGTCTGCAATCATCAATACTAATTTCAATTTAAAAAAGAATTAAAAAACAAAAACAAAACCAAGAATGACACATCCCAGCTTCTGTGCTTCAGTCCAAAAGCCAGTAAGTGAGACCAAGTACAGAAAGCATTTACTTATGGGGCAAAGGGAGACCAATGTGGAGGTCAGTGCTGAGTGAGACAGGGCATTTACCTGCAGGGTAAAGGGATTAATCAAATAGTTAAGTAAATCTATTGAAGATGAGGAAACCAGGTTTTTCATTGCTAGAGGCAAGAGTTACAAATATGGAAAGGGAGAAAACTAGAATTATCCCTGTGATGTTGGAATTGCAGATAAGAGTTTGAATTCATGGTTTTCAGTAGGGAGATATATAAATAAATATACCTGAAACCATGTGCATGTGAGCATAATAAATATATGTATACACTCCCTAGCTCTATGCACTAACTGCACCTGGACATAGTGATGCCCCAGGAGCCGTGAGCACTCCTAGTGCCCAGATCTTGGTCTCTAAATACCATTTGGAACTAAAAGTCACCAAGGGCTCCTTGGAGAAATGACTTCTTCCAGGACTGGGGCAGGGAAGTACGAGATGAACCTGGAATATCGTGAGGCACCAGAAAGTGAGGAAGTGCGCAAAGAATGACGAGGACCTGTCAGGAGGACCCAGAAGTCCCCCTGAGGGGGCTCTTATTGGCCAAATC